ATAAAATTTGTTTTCCTTTCACTGCTGTCCCTTTCCTCAAATGTGAGGGCTTGCTTGGGTACAGGAGAACAAATTGGACTCATGTGGCCATGTCTACACTCTGTTCCATGGTGCATCTTACAGTGCTGCATATCTTAGGCCCCTCTTGTCCAGGGTGGAAGTTGGTTATATTTGCACGCATTTATTCCTGGTAACACTTTTGGCCTTAGACCTGATTCCTAATATATAAGAAGGATGGATGTAGGGACTGGCAGAGCATGAGAAGAGGCAGAAACAAAGTAAGAAGCAAGTGTTAACAAGAAGCATAATTTCAAAACAAATCAAGACTTTGGGAAGTTGATGTGGCAAAAGCGTATTTTCCTGTGGGGGAGGATGAGTATTACCCCTTACTGTCTCTTTCACCCCAAAAAAAAAAAAAAGAGCCTATTCTGTTTAACATGTTTATCAATGATCTGGAGGAAGCAATGGAGTGCACTCAAGTTGCAGACGATACCAGACTGGGGAGCGGTCAATATGCTGGAGGACAGAGCTGTGAAGTCAGAGGGACCTTGACAGGATGGAGAACTCAATCAATGGGAAGCCCAGTGAAGTTCAACAGGAGAAATGAGAAGTCCTGTGTTAGGAGTTATTGAATTTGTTAGCCTGATAGAGGGCAGCCTGCTTCAAGTCACGAGGTCCAGCCAGTAACAAGACTAAGCATGCCTTCCGCATAGGCACACGTACACCCAATATGTATATGCATGTCTGGCCGTACCGATCAACACAGAAAACAACGCTCGCACAAACAGCACCAAGAGCCTCATCCTGTTCCACCCTCTGGCTGATCAGGATGAAAGCCTGTTAGTGGGGTGGGTATGCAGGTGGGTGCCCACACAGTATGGATCCTTCTAGTAGCTGGTCTTACACACTTGGTCTATCCAGAAGCTGCCTCCTAGATTCCCAGCTCTTCCTAGTTCTGACTCCCTGACTAGTGGACATATGAGCCCTCGAGGCCTGAGGCCTGCAGCCCTGTTCAGTTGCTGGTACTCAGACCCGCATTTGTGTGCGCATGCAGACATGCACAGAGGCAATCACTGTAGATTTTCCCCCCAGCAACACACCTTAGGCATTCGTTCTGTCCAATAGCCAGCCCCTGCGTTTCATGGTCTCCCAGTTGCCTCGAGTACAGATGCATACACAAGTGTGCGCAGTGTTCTCTCCACAAGCTGGCCCAGGCCTATCGCCCTGCCAGCAGCTGACCCCTATGCTCTGCTGTCTCTACAGTAGCTGATTTGGATCCCCTCATCCTTCTAGTAGCTAACTTTCAGACCTTCTGGTGTCTCCAGTGTCTGACCCAGGCTTATGACTGCTCCCAAGCCTCTTATCTTGTTTGCTGGCTATTGCCAGTTGATGTTCACTAGCAAGTACACACTAACATATGCACCTGCAAATGTCAGTGCTCTCTGATATCTCCAGTGGCTGGCACCCCAGGGACATGGACCCCTTTGACCCATGGCCCTTTGACCCTTTTCCAGTGACTTAAACTCCTCATGTGCTCTGGTCTCCGCAGTTGCTGGCACCCCAGGCACATGGGCCCCTATGACCTGTGGTCCCTTCTCCAGTTGCTGGCCCTTAGACCTCCATGCACACAGAGTAGAGAGCCCTTCACCCAGAAAAATAGTTAGGAATGGAGTTTAAGAAGAATGCAGGACAGACTGCAGTGATCAAGCACAGGGGATGGCCAAACATACTGATCAGCAACCTGTTTACGTGTGGCTGGCCCCTTTTATCCCCTTTTCCCTGTTTTCCTGCGCTTGTACCTCCCCGATCTACATTGATCCCTCCCTTTTCCTGCCTTTGGTTCTTCCCCTAAACATCACATAAATCTCTAAATCTTGTACAATCCCCAAATGTTGCTCCAAAGCGTTCTGTAATGGGTCCTGTAGCCCTGTAGGAGTTAATCCCCCTCAGGCTGTAAGGTGGTCTGGGGACTGTTTACTCCTCCAGTGGGTGTCACACCCAGACAATGAGCTGAGCATCCTCCTTGGATAGTCCTGAAAGCAGCCAGGTCAGGCTGCTCTGTTCATTCTGATTAGGTTATTTGTGTTCCTCTGCCTGGTGGTGTTCCCCAGTAATCCTTTCTGTTTGTGGAGATGAGGCCTTTAATCGCATAACTGAACATCCTGCCCCCGCAAAGGAAGAACTGGCAGCAGCACAGGCTGGGGACTACCTGGCTGGGGAGCCCCTCTGCTGAAAGGCCCTGGGGGTCCTGGTGGACAGCAAGGTGAATGTGAGCTGGCAGTGTGCTCTGGCAGCAAGGGAGGCCAGCAGCATCCTGCGCTGTATTAACAGGAGCATAGCAAGGAGCTTGAGGGAAGTGATTGATTATTGCCCTTTACTCAGCAATCATTAGACCGTATCTAGACCATACCTAGAACTGCATTCACCTTTGCCATCCCCCCCCCCAACACAAGAAAGACATGGATAAAGTGAAGGGAGTTAAGCAGAGGGGGCACTGACCTGTGAGAAGAGGCTGAGGGATCTGGGCTTCTTTAGTCTGAAGAGAAGGCCAGACTGGAGTGTAGGGGGGTGCTTGTCAGGAGTCTCAGTACCTATAAGGAAGCCATTGGGGAGATGGAGCCAGGCTCTTTATAGTAGTGCATAGCAGGAGGATGAAACACCAAAGGAGATAAATTGAAACGACAGGTTCCAGATGGATAAAAGGAAACTTTTTCCGCATGAGGACAGACAGATGTTAGAACAGGTTGCTTGGAGAGGCTGTGCAATCTCTAAACCATTGGAGGTTTTTGAGACCCAAGTGGATAAAGCCATGAGCAACCTGGTTCCACCTCGTACCTGAACCTGCTTTGAGCAGGAGGTTGGACTAAGAAATCTCCTGAGGGCCTTTCCAACTCGAATTACCCTATTCTAAAAGTTACTGCTAAACTATAAATAAATAAATAAATAAATAAATAAAATTTGAATTGTTCTCTCTATGTTTGCATAACATCTGTAACTTGCTAATAATCATCTGTATTTTATTTTTGCGTATTGCAGTCCTCTTCTGTCTGTTGATACTTCAGTCATTTGGTAGACTAGTGAAATACTTCCACTGCTGATTCATTCCTTTCTCAAATCCAAGAAGTTGTGTAAAATTTGCCATTATTACTGTATTCTTTGATGGTCTGTGTTAAGAGTAGCAGCATTAGAAACTGAAATTTGTGTCCATACTGTCTCATAAAAGTGATTTTGTCAAATCAGTGTTGCAAACTGTTATCAAAACTGGACAAGTTTTAAGCAACTACCATGCTATCTTTTGATAGTGAAAATGCGCCAGTAGGGCATATCGTTGTTTGTTGGATTTTTTTCCGAACATCAAGTATGTATTAGTGGTGCTTCAAGTACGAGCTGTAAGGCAAATTCTGTATCAGGGCTTCTGAACTTAGATTTTAACTACATGATTAAATTCATGTATGTGTTCATTGTGTGCCGTGAATGAGCACAGGAAGGTGGAAATAGAAAAACCATTTTCATAAGTTAGCCTTTAACTTTAGTTAGCTCAAGAGGATGTGTTTTCATAGCTGACTGTGGCCTTTTTTGAGGGGGGGAAATGACTGGATGAATAATCTTCGTGTTCCTAAATAGATCTTTGTTGCTTATACAGTAGAGATTCAAAACCACAGTGCTCTGTAACTTTTATTGCATCCTGGACTAGGGTCAGACCAATAGTGTTGGACTAAGATCAGTGATGTTGTAAGACAAATATTTGGAAAACATCCAGGTCGAGATACCAGTGTAGTGTACCAATGGGAATCTGGAATGAGAGGTCTCGGGGATGCACGCACTTCTGCATTTACATTTACTCACTGACGCCTGAGGGCTGCGGCTGTGCTGTGTTATGTGCAGTAGCACAAAACATTCCCGTAGTCAAGACTATTAGCACCAGGACAGTTTGTGCATATTTTGGCTAACTATTTCACCAGAATTCTGTTGGTGCGGCGCATAAAAATCTCTTAGGGTTTTTTCCTGAAGAGTTGATAGCATCTCTTAGATGACTTTGTAGTTTAAGGGTATGACAACTGCATTGGCATACTGCCTTGAAACACTAACACATGCAGGTTTTCTAGTTTGTGAGCTGACATGCTTTTGTGGTTAGCATGGCATAAATAGCACATGTGAGGATCAGAATGGCAAATGGAAATGGACAAGAATTTGCTCCTTGCAGGATGTACAGGATCACAGTATCAGAAAGATGATTCTGTTCATATGCTCACGTAACTTGGTGTGCCTATAGCCTGACTTCCTCAGAACAGCTGTTTCTTCTCTCAAAGCCAACGCTAGCTAAAAATTCCGTCGTGTTGGCAGTTGCATCAGTCCAAGCAAACTTTTTAGCGATCACTCCCATCTTAACCTAAGTGAGTAATATATCCTCATCTGATGCCGTCACTGGTTCATTGTGGCACAGGATTAAAGCAATCAAGTTGTACTTAAACAATCATATATTAAGTGCACAGGGTTTTACTTGAAATTCCAAAAAAATTGATTAGTGTAAGATCTGTATGTTGATGTTTATCAGCACTGCTAAAGTTTCTTAGTAGGATCTTTTACGCAACCGTAATGATTATTTCCTGTCGTATTGGATGTTTTAAGCATAGAGTGAAAGTAAGGTCAGCAGTGTCCATTTCCTGTATCTTATGCTCTTGATGAAGTTCTAATTTCCTGCCTCCTGCTGAGCACCGGCTCCACATCCATCTACCCTAACACCAAAGGGCACCTATTGACTTCTGAAGATGTATATTGGTTTCTGAGGTCTCCCTCTCCAGATTTTTGTCTTGATGGGAACTGTAAACTACTTCAGAGCTGCACAGCAGTAGAATTATATCCACAGGATTTTTTCAGAGAGGAAAATTTCAAATGTTTATTTATCCTGGTAAAAGAAAGATTTTGCTTTAGACAAACCACCCGTTCTATGTGTTTCTGGTCTTGTCTTCATTGCTGAGCTTGAGCATTTTAAGACTGAGTGGAAATCCTTGCAGTATCATCATCATCGTCCATTGATGGTCTCTCCTTTTTTGTCTTTTCTGTTTCAGATTTAGCCTTGGAATCTAATCCATCTGATCATCCCAGAGCAAGCACAATTTTCCTGAGCAAGTCTCAAACAGATGGTAAGCTAACTTTTTCCAGTTAAAAGAAAAGTCAGGAGGAAAACTGGAAAAATAACCGTCTATTTTAATTGTACATCTTGAGAACACTTAAATTGCTTTAACTCTTTCAAAGCATAGGGATTAATAGTTTGCATGTTTACACAGAAGTGTGTTCATAGGCTGTTTTACTTAACACTTAAGATCACTTGTTACTCTATGGACCTTAAATATCTGGAGATTTCAGATTTTGGATCCTAATAGTCCAAAGTCAAACTTTAAGCACTGGTGTTTTTTTTATGACCAAGAACTTTTCAAAATACCTTTCAAGTGGACTTTTTTTCTGAAAGGAATATTAAACCTAAGCCATCGGTCTATATCAGTTGTTTTTGAATATGTTGTTGTAATCCATTTGAATAATTTCAGTAGCATAATCATTCTTGAATTCTGTTATATAATTACAGGGGTAATTACATGGATTTACTGTGATTTTCAGTTTCTTTGCAGATCGCTTGTTTACTTCATACAGTCAATTTTGAACAATTACTATAGCTCATGCATACCAGAATGCTGTTGAAAAGTGAAGACATTTTCATATTGCATAAGTTAAAAAAAAAATCTGACAATAGTAAATTTTGAAATTGTAACTAAAAAGGAGTTTAAGATACTCTTTAAAAAAAAAAAAACCCTTTTGTTCCATTTATAGTTGGTTCTTGTTTGGAATGTTGTATTTTCGAAGGCAGTGTTGTGCTTGTGTTGATGGAAAGCTACAGTGTGTCTGCTGCCTTGGCATAGCTTTGCCACAGAAAAGTAGAATCATTTTGACGATTCTGTCAGTTCCAGTCCTGCTATTCAGAGTCCTATGGCAAGTAGTAAAATTGTTAGTTATATCAATTTCACACTGCTTGGACAATCTCTGAGCAGCAGAAACAAGCACTAGCATTATTAACAAGAAGAGATGATACCAAGGAAATGTAGCTGTCTTTCCTCAAAGGCTCTAACTAAGGTCAGTTTTCAAGCAGAGTTTGACCTGCAGATTTCAGGCACCGCTTAGACAAACGCTGCTTAAGTTGTAATTAGCAAGTTGACTTCATTCCTGACCATTATAGGACAGCTTCACTGTGCAGCCTTTAAACTCTGCTGCAAATAAGTT